GGAGAGCCAAGTTCTGCGGGGGGAAGAACGTTTTGGCTGGGATGCTGGTCCGCATTGCCGTGGAACCCACCAGTTCCCTTGTAAACGCCTCCCTCCTACCCACCTGTGAGATTCGGTAGCCCTTTGCTGGCAAACCCCTGAGTCATATATGTGTTTCAAAGTTATGGCAGCAAATGGGCCGGCTCGGGAAGAATGAGCGCGCTTGGAGAGCGGACCCCTGCAGGAACAATCTGACTATCATTCCGGGGATTTTTGGGAGGAATGCGCAAAAATACATTGTTTTTTGAAGGCACCTTGTTGTCGGACAAACAATCAGCTGCGTTAGATGAAAGACACGGGTTTGCATTTCAACAGTGGCTAGCACAACTGGGCAGCGAACAACTCTCTCTTTCTTTGTTCTCTCTTTCTCTCTTTCTCTCTTTCTCTCTTTCTCTCTTTCTCTCTTTCCTTCTAAGAGGGCCTAACTCCAATAATCCGTTCTCCCGAATAATAAACGCAGACCCTCTAACAAATACTCTCCGGGGGCAAAACATATTTACTAATAGGGTCCCTGGGGGTCAGATGGGCCCCGCTGGAGAGAAGCATGCTCGTCCCTTGAATCAAGCGAGAAAAAAGCTTTTCAGATTGTTTGGGAGGGAACATGAGGGAACGACGTTTCAGTTTAAACTTAGAATTACAAGTCAAGAATGAGTAAAAAGTAAGTATGCATGTAACAATGTAGACATTTAGATTTTGGTATTGGGTTGGTGTGGCGACATTGGACAGTTTAGTATTGGCTTTGAATGGGTTATTCTAAAGGGAGTATTGGGGACACGGCTTGTTCAGCCAGTCTGGGAAATCTCTTTAAAAATCGTCGATTTACTAAAAAGGGGAACGGATTAGTTACCTTGGCGGAACTACAGAGGGAGCCAAGATTGGGAAACAGGTTGCAAGTGCAAAAGCAGCTCTCCATTATCCCCCGGTGGAATTTTCGGGGGCGGGACCAACAGCTATTGAACTCGCTTCCAGTCGAAGAAGTGCGCCCATCCCGTTTAAAAGCATCAGCCTGGAAGTCAATGGACATCGGGTGCACAATGTGAAGCTCAGTATGTCAATAAGGTATCCTGAGATGGTTCCGTGGAGTTTAAGCACCGGTTTTGTAAGGAGTAACCATTCAAAATGGCTAGGGTTACCGACGTGCAATTCAATTCCATTTTGGCTATGAGGCTTTATGGCCCGCCAGAGGCCTTTTAGACGAGGGCTCGGGCAACCACAGGAACGAGGGCAAAACATGGGCCTCGAGTCATTCTTGGACGATAGAAGTTTCTTGTTCTTCGCGTGACCTTCATAGCGCAGAGGTTGCCCGAGATTCCGGCAATTCGAGTGCCTACCCCCCCCTGGTTCAGTTTGGTGCCTGGTTGCAGTTTATTTTTTTGTTTTTTCGTGGCATACCCTCACTTCCTGAGTTCATGAACTTTAAACTTTTTGGGAAGACCATTTTAGTGGTAAATGTAAAGTTCAAACTTTTTTGGGCCATCCACTCGGCAAGTGAGTACCCCTAACAAAATCTAACAAATCCACTCTGGCAGGAGTGACTCTCATGGGCCTGGAGGGTGTTGGCTTCCTTTGGCGCCTCGGATTTCGCCTGAAAGCGGCAGGGCGTTGATGCCTCGTTCCGCCAGGCCAGTGGCTCTCAAGCGCCGTGAAGATGGGAGTTGCCTTTTGTGGATGGTTGCCCTCGAATCCAACCAAAAAAGCGTTCCCCCAAAAGAAAGACAGACACGTGTTGGTAATGATCTAGGTCCCCCAGTAGTGCCCTTTGACCCTTTTTTGGGGGAGGGTTCCCCTACTAAAATAGACTACAAAAAAAAGGTGCCCTTCTAACCTCTCCGCTGGAGGACCTAGTGATTAAATGTGATTCAATCCCCGGCGGGAAGTGGTTGTTTTTTGTCCATTCATGTTACCTTTTGTTGGGGGCCCCTGTTCCAATAGCCCAATCAAGCAGCGGTCTGGACTTGTGTCTTGGGGTTTTGAATGAACGCCAGTCCCTTTCTTTTTTGGAGGGGGGGGTTCGTATTCCGGAAGCCTTCTTTCCAGTACGACCCCGCAACCTCCAAACCCCTAGAAATAAGGTGACCCTTCGTGGCGGCACATCCAAACGAATTGCAAGTAGGCTGCGAACAAGTTGAAATGCTGCAATGTTGGGGCTTGTGTGGGTGGATGTAGTTGGCTCACTGGTGGAGATTCCACCGTATCCTTCTCATAAGCGCTCATAAGCATGGAAACTGAGCGAGGAAACTCTCCCACGTTGGCCTGGAACCGTCTTGCCTGTAAACTGTGTGGGTTGGTTGTTGGCGTTGTCTCTTTGGCTTGGTTTGGTTTCTCTGTTTTGGTTTGGTTGTTGGTTTTGTCTGGTTTGAATTGCCTTGGTTTGGTTCGGTCTAGCTTGGTCCTCTGTTTCTTGTGGCCCCTTGCGCCCCCGAAATTCCCCAGAAGTTGCCATCCCTCCCATAGGTCCGGGCTTTTGGGCCCCTCCAATCCGGGGGTCCGGGTGGGTGCGTGAAGCTTGCGCTTGGTTCGAGGTACGCCAAGCACATCAGCCTCTGGGCGGCGCTGGGCTTCGCTGCAGGTTTGGGCACCTACAAGCTGCAGCACGTCTTGGTGCCGCTCTGAGGCGAGCGGAACTCGGAAAGAAAGCGGGGGCCGCGGGGTTGGCGCCCCACGGGGCGCGCCTGAGTTGGGACACGTTGGTGGGTGGTCTGGGAAGGAAAGCCAAAAGGACAACCATGAAAATTGGAGGGTCCCCCGAAAAAAATGGGTCTCGGAGGTGCTTGAAGCTGTGCTTGGCGGTGTTTTTCAAAAGGGGCCGATGCCTCAGGTGGTTGGTTTCCTTTTGGCTTCCTCAGATCCAAGAAGGAGACACCTGTCTTGCAACACGCACCCTGCTTTCCTGAAAGGCCCGCAACAGCCGATGGGGTTCCCCTCATCACCCAGCAACAAAAATCTTTGTTCAGCTGGACATCCTCAAGGTGTGGAATGCTGGGTGAAACCTTGGCCAGGTCCATTCTGAACGGTGAATGCGGTCTCCAACCAGCTATGAAATGCGAGTCACCCACGAACTGCAAGATCTGGCTGTGGCTCAAAAACATGTACCAAAATTTCACCTTGGTATATGGAGAAAAGAACAGATTCTGCGTAACCCCAGCTGTTTAATTTTGAGCCACACCCATCTAGGATTTTCCACGTGAGGTTGAAGCGTGGGTCGTTGGAATCCTGGCCCATGAACTGTGTGTGTATGTGTTTGTACTGAACAGGACACGGACGGCGGGGCGACATCAAGCACGGCCTTCGGCAAGGGGCAAAACGACTTGACTGCTATTGGGTTGGATCTTTAGACTTTAACTTTTTGGGAAATAAGGTCTAATAAAGGTGTTTTCTACTAAACCCCCAAAAAGCTAAACTTTTTGCAGGGGGCTCAAGAGCAGCCAAGACGAGGGCATGCTTTCATCACACTTCGGCAGGTCTCGCAAGTACTTGAACGTGGACACAGCAATACCTGTGGTGAGGCAGTCGTTCAAATCGACACCTGTGCCCAACTCAACTCTTTGACGCGCAGCTGAACGCGATGCGTTCGGAAGCTGTGACCAGACGGCTTGCAAGGAACGCTGTGCCAACAAAACATAGAAATCAACTTGCCGTCTTCCAGCATTTCATGGCAGCAATTCCAGAAAGTTGTCAGGTATTGGAAGTGGAGCTATGGAGCTGATAGGCATCATCTTTACAATGTCTGCAAACAGCAAACTCAGCACGTCAGAAGGGCATCTAAATCTGCCCTGCTAGATGCCTATTGGGTAGCATGGTTGATGGACTTAAATCCCCAAGCACATGATGCCCAGCAACCGTACCCTGATAAAGAATTACGCCCTGTTGGAAACCTTGGCACGTCATGGCGATCCGAACGGCTCTCGTCAGCGTGCAGCTCGCATAATTTTTCCGCGCTGGCCCCAGTGACAAGCTGTATGCCGGCACGCAAATCCAGGTGCCACCGGAAAACCGGGGGGGAAACCGCAAGCGTCCTTTGCGCTGAACCGCAGCCTTGTGCAATGCTTGGTGGGCGTCCGTCTTTGGAGTCGGAGGCCTTACCCTTTTTGGGGGTGAGGGAAGCCAAAGGAAACAACATCTGAAATTCTCCCTTTTTTGAGGCAGGCCCATGTGATTTGAGATATTTTTTGAGTTTTTGGCCTGCTTTAGAGGGCAAAGTAACATTGAACCGATCCCCCGGAAGCAGATGCGCAACTCTTTAGCCAATTTGCGCAGATTTGCAGCTCCCCCAGCGCGCCTGCGATACTGCCTGCGATACAATCTTTTGGCAGGTGCATCCCCAGCTGGGCTATGGGCTTTTGCCCCTGGTTGCAGAGTTCCATTCGATGCGCCTAGACTTGAACTATTTTTTGTTGCAAGGCAAAACAAATGGAACTTTGCTTCCAGCCTTCCACTTGTGGATGCAGGATGTGATAGAATAGTTGGCTGCTTTGCCCGGCGTCTCTGTACAGCACGGCATCGCGTAGCTGATGCGTCGAGCTGACGCCGGTATGTGGTGTTCTGCAGTTGCGCGCCGGCGTGCCCCGCTTCAACAAGGTGCTCGGGTTCACAAGCGTAAAACTAAGCTACTCAGGTTTGTGAGTTGCTATTAGTTGGGAAAGGACTTGTACCTCCAACCTCCTCCCCTTCACTAGGGGCAGGCGCGCTGCCATTGCACCACGGTCCCAATGCGCATTCTCTTCCTTTTTGTCACCTTGGAGAAAGGTTTGTAATCATGATCCGAATCTTGGGAAAGTAATGTTTGGAACCTGGGTCTGTTCAGGTCGTTGGCTCATTGTGAGCAGGTCCAGGTTCACCAATTCCTCCGCCAATTGGCTCGCCGTTAGTGCCGAACCTTCGGGGCATGGGCTGAGCCGCCCGATGCACCTCGGCAAAAAAAAAGGCGTTTTTAGCCCCAGCTTGTGTGGTGTCCGTGTTTTAGTGTGTGTTGTGATGTGTTTGTGCCTTGGCGTGTTGCTTTGCCTGCCGGTTTGTTTGCTTGTTGCTGACACAGCCGCAGATCGCCTGGTCGTTTCGCGACTTTTTGAGTGTTTGTTGTCCTGCGCATCCACAACACAAAAACTGGTGGTGGGTTGAAGACATGTGGCGCTTGAAAAGCACCACGCCAGTGTGACCTGTTTGTTTGTTTGCTTGCTTGTGTGTTTGCTTGTTTGTTCGTTTGTTTGTTGGTTTGTTTTTCGTTTTGAGGCTACTCTGTTTAGTTTTTTAAGAAAAAAACACGAAACCACGCATATTCCCCCCCCCCCCCTGTTCGACACAAACCCGCACGACTAAAGCTACAGACATCGGGAAGGAACACCCAGAACAAACCATTGGCAACGGCATTGCGAATGAAAACCAGGAGATACCAACTTTAGTCTATAGAGTACGAACTGCCACCTGACCCTTATATATTGGAATCGATGGGATGTGGGTAAGTAACTCTGCCGTTTTCGGGCACCAGCGGCGTATGGAACACTAAAGGCGTAGGTTCTTTGCTGCTTGCCAAGCCCTGTCATCTTAAATCACTGTACTCGTCATGAACTGACATCCTGTTGTGTTAACTTGCACCAGTGGGTGGGGGGCCATTTTGGGAAGCGTTTCATCATGTTTCTAACCTAGATTTGGCAGACACCATCTCAGCAGTGTTTCTGACATGAAAAATGGATATTCCCTTTGCAGGGGCCCCTGCAGGGGTTCACATTTGATTGGCAATTGGCAAAGTCACAATAATATGCAATCTCACTGAGGCCCCCAGAAACCCGCTCACTCACGGTTTTCCCCCGAGCACCCGGTGCTCATTGCTCAGCACGCCTTTCAGCTCAGTGTGCCTCTTCAAAGCCACCGTCAGCAGTGCCACATTTGGGCTGTGACAGCTCTGTGCCCTGTCTGACAGCTATGTAATCACACCTACAGTCGTTGCAAATGCAGAGCAGGGAAGCCTGCTCCTGAGCGCTCAGAAATGGCAAAATGCGATTCAGGTAGCACGACAGGCACGCAGAGTCCGGGTAATCCAGAAGGGCGATGATGGATTGCCACAGGGGCGTCATTAAGAGGGCACTAGTTCGCACTAATTAGTTGGCTGAATGGCTAAATGCTGAGGGCCAAAACTGCAACAATCATGGTCATCATCAACATCATCATCCATCAATATTTTGACAAGTGTTCAACGAGTCAGAGTCAGCGGGTCTGTGATCTGAGGCCTTGTTGGGCAATGCTGTTGGTTGGGCAATGCAATACCAAGAAGTGCATGAGACATGCTGACTGACTCAACCTTCACTCGCCTCGTCAACAAGGAATGAGACAGCAGTTTTCAGCTCACTCGCATTGATCCAGCGATCCACTACCCCGTACTGAGACTGAAACCTGCCTTCTCAGCAGGACCCGTCATCACAGCTGATGGAGCTATGTAATGTTGCTCCAATGCGATTGTCAAACTGGCTGACTGGAGCCGCCATCAGCTGTGGTTACCATGCCACACGTATTGGGAGTGCGGCGTACTACCCCTAATCTGTCTACGCATGATGGCTTGAAGGTCGGAGGCGCATGGCCAAAAACACGCAACATCTCATTCATCTCATCAAACTTACAGTACATAAAGTGGAATCTCACACGTGTCATGGGCCATGGCATCCGAACCGCCACATGCCAAACCAAAAAAGGCCCACATTTGATCTAGAAGTTCAGCCCATGCGGTTCTTCTTCAGGGGGCCGGCCACAAAGCTCAGGATCTTCTGACTCGACTTGGCCGCCTTTGCCAGCGCAGCCCGCTCTTTTTTGGTGGATGCGTCAGCGACAGCCACAGGAGGCACAAACGTCTTCCGCTTCGCGGCTGGCGCCTGCGGGTCATGCCAAACGCAATGCAAAAACAAAAAAGCTTTTGGTCACGCAACGGTCACCCTGCCTCTGCCTTGCGATTATTGTCCTTGTTCTTGGCCTTGTCCTTGGCCTTGTCCTTGGCCTTGTCCTTATCTTTCTTCTCCTTCTTTTCCTTCTTTTCCTTCACCTTCTTCTCCTTTTTTCCCTTTGTCTTGGATTCGGCCCGCTCCGTTGACGCAGCAGCAACAGCTAGCGGGACATCGTCATCGGAATCGCTCAGCTGGTTCTGAACGCTGGCACTGGTGTTGCTGGTGTGGCGTCTCAGCTTCTTGGCATTCGGCTCGATGTCGTCAGCAGTGCGGGCTGCACTTTCCTTTCGCAAGGCTTACACGATTGCAGTGGAAACGAGGCGCACCCTATTTAAAAACAATATTTGCTATTATGCTGCTAGGTTCAAAATGACCTTTGCCACCACCCGTACAAATGCTTGCAAAAACAAGCAACGCAACTCAGACTCTCAGACCACCCAGCCTCCAAAACATCCACATGCGTCTCAGCCAGCTCCACGGGCACATCATTCTGCAAAGGCACCACCTCCATCTCTGCCTCAGTCTGCATCTCCGGCTCCTTGTGCGTCTCTGGCTCCTTCTGCGAAGGGACCACCTGCTTCTCCGGCGCCACCTGCTCCTCCGGCTCCATCTGCGTCTCCGGCTCCTTCTGGGAAGGGACCACCTCCTTCTCCCGCGTCTCCGGCTCTTTTTGCGAAGACGCCACCTGATGTTCCTTCTGCGTCTCTGGCTCCTTCTGCAAAGGCGCCACCTGCTCCTCCGGCTCCTCCGGCTCCTTGTGCGTCTCCGGCTCCTTCTGCAAAGGCGCCACCTGCTCCTCCGGCTGCGTCTCCGGCTCCTTCTGCAAAGGCGCCACCTGCTCTTCAGGCTCCTTCTGCGTCTCCGGCTCCTTCTGCAAAGGCGCCACCTGCTCCTCCGGCTTCTCCCGCGTCTCCGGCTCCATCTGCAAAGGCGCCACCTGCTCCTCCGGCTCCTTCTGCGTCTCCGGCTCCTTCTGCAAAGGCGCCACCTGCTCCTCCGGCTTCTCCCGCGTCTGCGGCTCCTTCTGCAAAGGCGCCACATGCTTCTCCGGCTCCTTCTGCGTCTCCGGCTCCTTTTGCAAAGGCGCCACCTGCTCCTCCGGCTGCTTCTGCGTCTCCGGCTCCTTCTGCAAAGGCGCCACCTGCTCCTCCGGCTCCTTCTGCGTCTCCGGCTTCTGCAAAGGCGCCACCTGCTCCTCTGGCTTCTCCCGCGTCTCCGGCTCCTTCTCCAAAGGCGCCACCTTCTTCTCTGACTCGCTCTGCATCTCTGCTTCAGCACCAGGCTCCTGTGGAACACGAACTTACATCTGGTTGAGTTAAGTCTGTGCTTAACATTCAGCATAAGCACCATTTGAAGGTGTGTGGAACGTGGCTGCAAAACAAAAAATATGTGGTTTGTTTGTTTGACAGCTGTTGTTTGTCGATCCATCCTTGTCACCACTGCCCATCGCAGCGTTGCCCTCGGCAGTGCGGCCCACTGCGTCGAAAGCAACCTCGACACAAGCGAAATCGATCGATTTGGGTAGGGTACGCATGCTGGGAGTGTGTGGGGGCCAGTGGGGGGTAGCAACTGAGAAACATGTCTTAATCCCTCCCGGCGCCAGCCTCCAACTCGCGCACAAGATTCTCTTCTGTGAGGCTCTCCGCGTGAATCTGGCCGTCCTCACTCACGCCAGGCGACTGCTTG